TGTGGTCTTAAACAGAGATTGTTGAAAAATTACATGGCAATGGTCGTGGCTTGAACCTTCCATTAACCTTGAGATATTGACTACGGACGAACTGAAAAGTTGAAGCAATCGAATGTATCTTCATGTTTTTAAGGTTTTCAAATGAAAATAGTAAAATGTTGGAAGAAATGTAAGGAGATGAGGGTTGTGATTGAATTATAATAGTAAATCATTATAATTTTTAAGAATTAGGCATTTTGTAAATTTTAATTATTTTTCAAGTATAAAGTCGTATATAAACATTGGTGTATTTAATCAAAGTTTTAAGATTATGCTAATTAGTATGTAATTAGTATAGATTATAAATATATTTCTGAACAAGTATTTTTCAAATAAAACTTGTTAAAAAATGAAATTCAAAAACTAAAACATGTCTTAAAAAATTAAATCAATTTAATTTAAAATGATGAAATCATGATGAGTTTCAGATAAAAACGTTTTCATACTTGACATGTGATATATTGAATACAATATCTGTATCTCTATATAAAAAAAATTTAAAATTTGTGTATATATAAAATTTGTTGCAAATATTACATCTTCATATTTTAAGTTTCAATAAATTTTTATCTTTTAGCACTTTTTGTATATATTTGTTAGATTTAACTCTTGTCAGGAGTGTTGTTGGCTGTCGGCTATTTTGATATAAATAAACATAAAAATCAGATTTAAATTATTAACCTTCCTTAATTTCATATGAAACTTCATGATATATTGAAATTTTATATTTTAAATTTATTGCTAAAATTTTGGAATTTTTTAAAATATATCATTGATATGAAGGCATCGACATATCAATAAAGATTTTTTTAAAATTTTAAAATTTTATTCATTTATTTTATTCAAAATTTAATTCTTTGGTTTTTTATTAAATTTTTTTTTCTAATAAAGTAATCATTTAGAAAATAAATGCAGTTTTCAATTTTTACTAAGACAAGATAGTTTAAAAATATACTTTTAATTTCAAGATAAATGTGAGATTATGATTTTTTTGTTATTATTTTTATTTTAAAAAACATCATGAAAATTTTTGAAACATTATCAAATCATTTCATGATCTTTATTTTACTCTTGAATTTTAAATCACACAAATATTAAATTTTGATCCCTTAGTGAAGTTCAAAAAACATGGTTTTTATAATATAAATCATTTTTATCATTTCTATCATGATTTTATAAGTTAATGTGCTTTTGTTATTGATTAATTCATGTATGTTTTAACTTGTGTAGTTTCATGCTAGTTAGGATTTAGATTATGTTATTGTTTAAAAGAGAGCTAGCAAAAGATTTTGATAATACTTAAAAATTTCATCAATATAGCATTTTTGAGTTCCGGAACTTAGCCCAAAGTGACAAAATATATACCTATGTGTCAATTTGTTTATAAGCTTGCGTCAAATGATTAGTAAACATTTATGTTTTTTTAATCCAATACATCACTTGGTATCATATCAATAACAATTTATGCATAATGTTTTATCCGAGTATGAAGTGATGATTTGAATTGTATTGAATTTGCATTGTGAATGTAAATTTATGATAAACTTGTTCAACAATGTCATTTTTAACGTGTGATTGATTGAGTTTGTGTTTCATAGAAAGCTAATATCACAATATGGGAAAAAAATTGCAATTGAAATTAATAGATCATAGAAAAAAAAAGTAAATCATCATTTGCATTTTTTTTGTTTTTGATTCGTCTTTGGTTTTTTTAACATGTTTTTATATGTTTGTTTGTTTATATAATTCAGAAATCAACTTTTTATGATGAGTTCTACATGCTCTTTTTGCCAATTTTGAATCATTAGCAAGTTCTACTTGGCATGATGTAAACCTATATGAATATACCTCACAAACTTATTGACGGCTCACACCACCATTGATTCATGTTTTAAATGAGTCATTGATAACTCACATACGAGATAAATGATGACATCTTTTCATTGCAGTTTGGAAACAAATAGATGATATAATAAATAAATTTGGTTTTTATTACTTGCCTTGTTTTGTTGACAAACAACTTCAAACATAAGTCTTCACATACTCTTGTAATTTAGACCAATAGTACATTTGTTGTATGCTCTATACGGTTATAACCACTCCATATGACTTGCAATTGTTGCGTTATAACTTTTGGTCCAAATTATTATGCGCAATTCATCTTGGGGAATCCATATGCAATGTTTGTAGAATGCCAAACCTAGAGACTTTTTGTCTTTCTAGTTTGTAATGCTCGAGTGATCTCTTCATACTCCTTTGAGGCTTGTGTCATCTTCTTCCATCAATCAGCTTAAATTTTCACTTTTATAACATGATTCAGACAAGTCATACGTGTGAGTTACTTCTTGCACTCCACATATACAATCTTCAAGTTGAAGCATTGACGCCACTCTATTCGTCAAAGTTTTTGTTCAAATAGATTCTTCTGAGTTTCCAAATAAACCAATTTTTTATGATCTATCTCCATCACTAACTACTTATCACCCAAGAAGTGCTTTCAGTGTTTTATTGCCAACACAATGGCTAATTTTTGTAGTTTTGTTGTGTGGTAATTATGTTCCGTTGTCATCAAATTTTAAGAATAAAAAATAACTAAATATCATACATCCTCCCAGTTTTGTTGTAATATGACAACCACATATGTGACTGATGTAACCAACTTGATAGAGCGATTTGAATCATAACACTTGAGTATAGATGCGTGAAACTAAACATCTTTCAATATTTGAAACGTTAACTTTTGAGATGTTACTCACTTCATTTTTGATTTTTTCCTGACATGGATATCAAGGCTTGAGCAAGACAAGCAAATTTTTTTATTATTCTACGAAAAAATCCAATGAGTACTAGAAAATTCTTTAGTTTAGTTTAATTCTCATCACTATTCATGTTTTAATGATTCTATCTTTTCATTTATTATTTAGATTTTAGCGGCTGTAATTCTATTATTCAAGTAATCTAATTCTAGTTTATCAAAATCACATTTTGAAAATTGCAAATATATTATTATATATTCAGTGTTTACTTTTAAAGACTCCAATAATTGTCAATATAGGTGAAAATTTAATTACAATGTTTTGATCTGACATGTAATTATCAATTTGCATTTGACTTGTCATTCTCATAACAAATAATCTTCATGTTCATTGTATTTGACTATGCCATATATTACATACATGTATAATGGATTTCATGAACTCCATCTCGTTTTATTTAACATTCAAAAATATTTTTTGTGTCCTTTGAAAGTATGATATTTTTCTTTTGACTCATATGAAAAATATAATGATCTCTTAAGTAATCTTAGCATGTAAAAATTACATAGTTGAAGATGCTAAATAAATCTACTTAGTAATAAATAAATTTTGAACTATTTGTATGTTAACTTGAGGATTGGAAACAATTATATGCTTAACATGAAACACTCAAATTTTCAAAAAATTCACAAATCAATCAATACACGTTTAGTTTCATATCAATAAATCTTTTAGTTAAAGAATTCAATTGTCATTTATGCAAGATCAAAAGTTTGTACTTACTTCGTCTTGGAATTTTCATTCCTTGCGGCCAATGCATTACATAATATTATCTATACTATTATCTATTTTTGACTTGATGTGAGACACATGTAATTGAGGTTTCCCACATTAAATTTTGTTATAAAAATTATAATGAACAATGTCATCAAAGAATTATTTTTTTGTTATGATTGGATTTATAACAAATTTAGCAAGGTAGCAGAATCTAATCAAAAAATGAAAATTGCGTGATTTCGTGTTATCAATCGTTGACTTTTAATGAAACTATCATTTATTGATTTTAAAATCAATTCTCCGCTATTATTTTTTCATATTTAATCAAAGCAATCAACTTCTACTGCCATTTTTGTTTGATGCATAGAATCACTACTCGAGAGATTGTAACTTTCTGTTCCATATAAAGATCAATTACTCTAATGCTTAAGTAGCAAAATATCATGAATAATCTCAGCACATCTTTCATTGATCACGTTAGAGTGATTGAAACTCTCAGTGTAGATTTGATTGCATTGAACAATTCAATGATTCAAGTCATAAATGATGGTTATGATTTTAATACAAAAAAATACACTTAAACAATGACATATCAAAATGTTGACACGAACATGGACAAAAATACTTGACATTCAACTTCGTTTGCCATTACAGATTAAGTTTACAATAATTTATATAAATGGTTATACTTATTTATTTAAACCTAACAATATCGTTCACAATTTTTTTAAGCTCTTTTTTATCCATATTTAGTTAATTATAATAAAAATAATGATTATTTGAGATAAAGATACATTTGCATTATAATGAAGTATTTATTATACTTGTGTTTTTTCAGAAAGAGAATAAATCTACCAAAAACAAATTGAAAATAAAATAATTTGAGTGAAAAATAGTTCATTATTGTGTGTATTAGATAAAAATTAAATGTGTTATTTGATTGATAAAAATACGTGAATATGTTAAGGGAATTATGAGATGATGGATATAAATTTTATTTCATTCTATATTTATATATATAAAATAATAATAATAATTTAATCTTATATTTATTGAAATAATTTTTATTTTAAATAAAATAATTTTTCAATTATGTATTTTACAATAATGCATCATGAAAGCAAGATCTAAATTTAAAATAATTAACTTGAGTTAGAAGTAAGTTGAACATTTTGCAAATGTTCAACTTACTTACGTTAATATAATATGGTTCTATTTAATTCAAGGGATTGTTTACATGTTATCACCACCTCTACTTTTCACCTTTTTTTTCTTCTACCTGAAAATATATGAGTAAATGGCAGGAATTCTTCCACTTGTTCGATTTTACAAGTTCTCTAACCATGTTTCTCATGATGACAATTGTGAGAACACAGTATTCTTTCTAGTTTACACAATATCGTTCTTCACAGCCAGCACTTTAAGTGTTTCTGTAGACAGTATACTATTTGGACTCTTTATACAAACATGTGCATAAAGGCACATAATTAAATGGCTTTTAAGGGAAAGACTGTCATAAATGTACGTGTGGACAGAAACCTATACAACCTGCTAGCGAACGACTGATGATGATGGTCGTAATACTGCAGTACAAGTACAAAATCTACAGACCTGGCACAGTAAACGAGATTTACCCTAAATGAGAAATCTATTTCCGTACGCTTGTCGATGATACGGTCCAGATTCCGGTCTTTAATCGGTACCCTTCAACCTTCGATCCCTGGAGGCAAGGCAATGGCAGTAGAATGGCAGTAGGCGCTCACGACCATCTGGATACGTATCCTCACTGGTTCCTACCTGTACTCAGACACACCCTTCTCTCGGCTTACATCTCGTCGTATTGGAGCGAATTGGAATCAAAACAACAAAAGAACAAGTACTTCTTCAGTAACGCCCGAGCAGACCTTATCTTGGCACTTCAATAGGATCCCTCATCCTGCTGGAGGCCTTTCCGAGTCCCGGTGTCGTCGAATCACCAGATGGCTGCTTACTGTCACAACATCCCAGGCTTTAATGTTCTCCCAAAGGATCTTTACGACCCTACCTTAGCCTCTGGGTCCTACATGAGCTCGCTTTCTGATGTCAAACCCCGGACATTGTAATCCGATGTTCATCAGCATCTGATGCTAAACATCTGCTTAGCACTAGCGCGTGCTACAGACAGAAGGAAAACATACTAAAAGCGAGTAAATGTTGCGCACCCCAGCAATGTGGAATATTTGTTTGTAATTTAAAAGATTGTTGTGGGCATGCAGTGTAGTGGAAGCTCGTTCGGACCTGCGGTTTGGAGGTCAGTCTGCCAAGGAGAACCCCGTGCAAGTGGAACGGGAATGTGGAGTTCGCTTTGCGTTCGCGAGATCAGGAACAGGAAGGACAGTGCGGAAGAGCCTCGGTGGGGCAGATCATGCACGGAGAAAGTGCGGACGGCGAACTTTGTTGTCGACCAGAACGGTGAAGAAAACAAAGGAAAGGAAAAGAAAAGAAAAGAAAAGTATAAAAAAGCGAAGAGCCGAGAGAGACCACAACATTCCATCGCGGAACGAAGAAATGGCTCCGGTCGACATTCGACTCCACATGCGGGCCGGGCGAACGCGTGACGGCGGGAAGCGTAGAATTGCAGTATAGTACTCACTCACGTCGGGACCGATGGATGGGTGCCAGAGGGGCAGCTCTCGCGGTCCCGCGCCGGCAGCAGCAGCAGCACCACCAGAGGTTCCGGTCCTGCCGGCCGCCTATCCCGCCGGGAGTTCGAGCGCCTGTCGTTCCCGCACGCGACGGTAGCTTCGGCGGCAAGTCGAAGCCAAGAGGAGATGGCAGGAGCATGCGGACGAGCGAGCAGCTCCACCAATTGTAGTGGTGCTCCTCGCTGGCGACGCCCATGGGGCCAGTGGTACATGGCACGAAAATTGACCACTGTTGTGGTCTGGCGAGCGAGTGAGTGAGTGAGAGAGAAACAGACAGAGAGTGGAGGAGGGAGTGCTTCACGATCGGAGGTGGACGACGACGACGAGGAGGAGGAGCAATCAGTTGGACTAAAGGTCGAGTGTGCTGTACTGCCTCCCGCGCCCTATATTTATGGAACATGGCATTCCTCGCGTTCCTGGGCTCCGGTAGCTGGGATCCGGGTCTCGGAGCACCGCTGAACTCTCCCTGTCATCGGTTACATAGCCTGTCACGCGACTCGCCGCGCTCGCACTCGATCGCTCCAGTGTCCTAACGACTTTTCCCTATCATAGCCTCTAACAAATTCATCTCCTGCGCTTCCGCTGAATGTCGCCTCATTTGCCTTCGCATGTGCCATTATCGGGTGCGCGGTCGGATACTCTCCCTCGCGAAGAATTAACCCCCTCCTGCCCGCTCTCGGTGTCGTGTCGTTACGTTTGTTGAGAATGCGGCCGTGAGAAGGACGGGAGGCGCGGGCGTCGATGCGAAGGCAGCCAGCCAGATGTGCATGTGGACCTGGCGTCATCCACGACTCGTGGATGTTGAGGTTTGGGTAATTCGAGAGCAGCGAGCGCAAGGGCGGAGGCGTTTTTATGAAGGAGAGCGACCGGAACCCGATGCGCGAAGTCACCGATCAGTCACCTTTGCCGAAGACGTGGCCCACGACAGGGCCCCGCCACCCATCAAGCCCGCCAGCCAAGCGCCGGGGCCAGCCAGCCGAGCACTTTGACTCGCCAAAACAAGTCGTTCCAGTGATCGAACCTACTCCTCCTCCGCCGGGAGCCCCCCGTAGGCGCCAGACAGAGCCCATCGGTCCCCGGCGCCCCGACTGCCGGACCGGACCGGACTCCATGTCATTCAACGCCCATCGTACATACTGGTGTCGTAACCTTTGGCCAAAGCGAGCGAGAGTAGATCTTGCGCAAGTACAGCGCCATCCATCGTCGTCGGTCCACACGGTCGCAGAGCCCGAGGCGTCTCGACCCGCGGCCTACGCACTCCGCTACTCTAACACGTATTCGCAGCGTATGTCTACGCTCGCACTGCGCGCCACCGCCATAAACCAGCGGCGCCCAGCTCCAATTATCCTAAACCTACTTCCATTAGAGCTGGCGAGCAGCAGCGAGCGCAGGAGGACCGCACGGGCCGGTTCTCGGGTCCGGAGACCTTCCCGAGCTGCTCCTGCTCCTGATCACCCCTCCGGACGTCGCCGGTGGCCATGGTATGGACGGGACTGGACGGGAGAAGCAGCAGCTCGCGCCGGTTCAGAAGGGTCGAGTCATGGTGTCAGTATCGCTGGGCCAGCGCCGGAGATGGCGGTGCGGGGTCGCGGAAGAAGCTGGCCGAGTAAAGACTGCCGGTCGCGGTCACCCCGTCGCGCCGCAGGAGGATTCGTCGCGGCTGCGACTGAGACACGAGCTCGGGTCCTCGCGGGACGGGATAAGTGCCGGGGCAGCAGTAGCGCGCGAGAGAGCGAGCGATCGATCCGTCAGTCAGTGGCACCGTCGACTTCGCGGTGAAGCAAATCGGCTGCCTGCCGCCTACCTGGCGCATCCGCGGGCCGATATTTCCCGCACGTTTGTCGGTCAAATGCGGTGGTGTCGACCTCGCTGAGCCCTGCGCCTGCTCCGAGCAGCTGCTGTCACTTCTCGGCGGCCGCATCAGCTGCCGCTTGCGCTCGTCTCTTCTGGCACTCTCCCGTGATCGAGTCGCAGCACCGTGTCTCATGGTAGACGACGGCCGGAGCCGAGCTCTGACGATCGTGGAGCCGTGTCGTCGACCCAGCGCGGCGTAGGGGGGTCGCGTGAGCTGAAGGGGCCCCATCGCGAGGTGGTCAGCTGCTGGTGCGGGAGAGAGAGAGAGGCCATTTCACGCAGTTTGTGTGAGCGGGACCTGGCCCTGTGGCGGAGGAGAGATCAGCTCGGAATCGGTGGAGGTTTGAGCGTCTGCAGCCCAACGTTCGTTCCAAATGGTCGTTGTAAAGTTCGAGCTATGAAGATCATGGAGCGAGGTCGGCGTCATTGGGCTCCTACCGTTCTCGTGGCATTGGCAGTTTGCGTAGCTCATATTTTCGGCGTGGCTGCCCAGACCGATCCGGCGGATCAACAAATTCTCGAATCTCTTCTCCAGGGCCTCACCAGTGCTAGCCAGGCGACGTTAGGATGGAGCGGCGGTGACGCTTGCGGAGGTAAATGGGCTCACATTCAATGCCTCGGCACCAAAGTGTCTGCCATCCAGATCGGAAAGTTGGGTCTCGAGGGGACTATCCCATCGACCATCAATCAGCTGCAGCAGTTGACACGGTTGGAGCTGCAGGATAACTCGTTCACGGGTAGCTTGCCATCACTCAGTGGTCTCGCCAAGCTCGATGTGGGGTACTTCCAGAACAACAAGTTCGATGTCATTCCGGGCGACTTCTTCGACGGCCTGACGAGCTTGACTGGATTATATCTGGACCGCAATGCAGACCTTAATGGGACTTCCGGGTGGACGATTCCTCCCAGCGTTGAGCAATGTACCGCCTTAGTGAACCTCTCTATGACCGGGTGCAATGTCGCTGGAACGATACCGGACTTTCTTGGTACCATGACGAAATTGCGAGTGCTCAATCTAGCGTACAACAAGATGTCGGGTGGTATCCCGGCTACGTTTTCTGGTTCTAACCTCGTACAGCTTCAGGTGAACAACCAACAGGCTCCCGTGTTCGATGGCTCGATTGAAGCCGTGGGTGGTATGAAGTTCCTGAAAGTTCTCTGGCTGCATGTCAATGCCTTCACGGGGCCGATTCCAGCGGGCTTAGGTGATGCCACCAGTCTCGAGGATTTGAGATTGAACGACAACAAGCTGGTTGGCACCATACCTCAGTCGTTCGCGAGGTTGGCTCTCCAGAGCTTCTCCGTCAGGAACAACATGCTCATCGGTCCTATTCCCAGTTTTCAGACCAACTTCGGCCCGGAAATGTTTGCGAACAATGGATTCTGCTCGGAGACGGTCGGGGACCAGTGTTCAACCGAAGTGACTGCATTGATGGGCTTCTTGGGAGCCGTCAAGTTCAGCCCCTCGAGTCTCGTGGAGACGTGGTCAGGAAACGATCCCTGCGGGTGGACAGGAATCGCTTGCAATCCGAGCACGAAGTCTGTCACCAGCATTAATCTTCCCAACAATGAGCTGACGGGCGAGATATCTCCGACTATTGCGAGTCTCTCATCTCTGACCACTATTAGTTTGAGTGGAAATCAGTTGAGCGGAACCATCCCGACGGAGCTCACGAACCTGAAGAACTTGAAAACTTTGGACCTCAGTGACAACAATCTGTCTCCTCCGCTTCCGGAATTTGCTGATGGAGTTCTGGTTGTCACTGGCAACCCGCTTCTCGTTCCTGGGACTCCTGTGGCGCCTCCTACCGCCACCACTCCTCCAGCGACGCCGGGTACTCCTCCCGCCTCCGCCGGCACACCTCCTGCCGCCCCGGCTCCTCCTGGTTCTCCTCCCGCGACAGAAACTCCAGCGGGCGTGCCCCCGACCGCCCCAGGCCCTGCCGTCGAAGGTAGCAGCAAGTCATCGTCGAACACGGGCATCATCGTGGGAGTTGTCGCCGGTTCGTTTGTGCTCATCTTATTTGCTACATTCGGGTTCTGTTGTGTCTACAAGAGGAAGAGGAAAAGACTCCTCACCCTCCAAGGACCTAACACTGTCATGGTCCACCCTCGGGATTCTGCATCTGATCCTGAAGTCGTGAAGATCGTCGTGAACAGCAATGCGAACACGCAGAACACCGATACTCACGTCAGTCGAGCCAGTAGCGGGCCGAGCGACATCCAAGTTGTGGAGGCAGGTAATTTGGTAATATCGATTCAGGTGCTGAGGAGCGTCACGAAGAACTTTGCAGAGGAGAACGTTCTGGGTCGTGGAGGTTTTGGTGTTGTTTACAAAGGAGAGCTCGAGGATGGGACGAAGATTGCGGTGAAGAGGATGGAAGCAGCCGTCGTCAGTAGCAAAGGTCTGAGCGAGTTCCAGGCTGAAATTGCAGTGTTGACGAAGGTCCGCCACAGGCATTTAGTGGCCCTTCTAGGCTATTGCGCCGAAGGAAACGAGAGGTTGTTGGTTTACGAGTACATGCCTCAGGGTACCTTGAGCCAGCACTTGTTTGAGCACGCTAGACACGAGAGCAAACCTTTGGACTGGAACAGGAGGCTCTCAATTGCTTTGGATGTGGCCCGCGGGATGGAGTATCTGCACAGTCTAGCCCACAAAAGTTTCATCCACCGCGATCTCAAGCCTTCGAACATCCTTTTAGGAGACGATTTTCGAGCTAAGGTGTCTGATTTCGGTCTGGTTAAGCTTGCTCCCGAGGGAAAATTCTCAGTGGAAACTAGGTTGGCTGGTACATTTGGTTATCTTGCTCCGGAATACGCTGGTAAGGTTCAAAAATCCTGATCTTGTAGTAGTGCATTCCGTATTAAACTCCCGATTCCTTCTGATTGCTCTGTGTTTTCTTTGCTTTCTTGTAATGTCAATGTGGCTACGCTATGGTCGTCTTTCCTAGTACATTCGGTTCTAGTTCGGATTTTGTGCGGATTGGAGTAGTGGTGGAGGGTCTAGCGATACTCAGCCGACATCCCGATCCTGCATGCGTTTGAGTTCCATGTCGGATCTCTGGTCAATGAGGGTGGTTTTGGAAATTTTATCTGTCGATGGATGACGAACTCTGATATAGTTTTGATCTGCATTCTGTACTGAATTTGCAGTGACCGGTCGTGTGACGACAAAGGCGGACGTTTTTAGCTTTGGAGTAGTGTTGATGGAGCTGATCACAGGTCGACGGGCTCTCGACGAAACCCAAGCAGAGGAGAATATGCATCTCGTAACATGGTTTAGGCGAATGAACGCCAGCAAGGACTCATTTACGAAGGCAATAGATTCTTCTATCGAAGTTACTGAAGACTCGTTCAGAAGCATATTGATTGTAGCGGAGCTAGCGGGCCACTGTACAGCGCGAGAACCTTACCAGCGACCAGACATGGGCCATGCAGTGAATGTACTCGCCCCGTTGGTCGAACAGTGGAAGCCCACAGATCTGGATGAGGATGAAGGAGGTATTGATCTTGAGATGACGCTACCTCAAGCCTTAAAGCAGTGGCAGATGTATGAGGATTCGTCGATGAGTGGGTTGGATGATACGAAGGCAAGTCTCCCTACTCGGCCTACAGGCTTCGCGGAGTCTTTCACATCGGCTGACGGTCGTTAACCATAATCCCGAACGCTGCTCATCGTGGCAAAGACTTACCTTCGTTCTGAATTTCACCCTTTGGAAACCACAGCTGTCTTTCCCTAGGTTTGCTGGAACCCATTGCTCTCTGGTCTTCTGTTTGGAGTGAGGACTAATAGGGATTGGTGACTTGGGACCAAGCAATGGTTAAATCTACTCCCACCTTTTCTCACTGTACGAGTCTCTTTTTTCCAATTTTGACATTTTCCTGATAGAGACTTAGACCAAGGGAAGGGAGTTCGCGCCTGTGGTGTATCACACTTCAGACTTTCGCCATCATGACGATAGCGTTATTGCAAGTGACGTGATTTGTAACCTCTGCATCGGTCAGAGGGACTCACACCCATTATGATACGTTGATTGCATCTCTGTAAATGCAGGGTTGCATATTCCAATTGTTTCTATAGTTGAAGGACTATCCCGAAACACCTTTTGATTGTTTTGGAGCCTTAGCGCTTGTTATAGCCACGGCAAGGTTTTTGTGGTATTTCTCAAAAGGTCTACAATTAGCATGAGAGACTGCCCTCTAAAATACTGTCATCGTAGATGAGTCTCCAGTCGTGGCTTCTGGCGAGGATCTTGTTAGCGAATGAGGTACAAAGGGCAAATGGCTGTGTGATACAGTTTGCCACGTTTTGTATAGTGGATTGAGGTCCAGATTGACTTCTGTTTCTCAGTAGGTGAGACGCTCTGATGGCGACAAGCTACACTGTAATAATGCCTAATTATTGTTCGAGGGTCGTTCTTTCAACAGAACTCGCATATCAGACACTGTGCACTCTTAACTAGACTGAGTGATCTTGAGATTGCAATCATGTATGAAATCATCTCTCTTATGCATGGTTTTTAAGCTTTGCACAGCATATTGTTGAAACAGCGAGTGTATTTCGACTTTGGTTCACTGTAGACACCGACACGGTTCTCTTTTCCCGCAATGCTGCGTGCTTAACCTCGCCACGCGGTTAAATTTAACCACTTATATGCTGATTGTTGATGAATGATTCGTTCCTTCAGTTTTATTCCTTTACGATTTCGTGGCAGGATATTTCTGGTGCTAGATATATTGTAGCATGGGTTCCCGATTCACGATGGTCAGTTTTTCCTCCTCTTTGACTCAGAAATATGAGTGTTTGGTCTATATGAATGGATGGGCTGAAGTGGAACTGAGGGACAGTAAAAACTTGGAAATCTCCAACACTCCCCTTTTGTGTTTGCAGGTGAGGCTTCTGGGTGATGTGAGTCAAAGTGATCAGGGGCAGGGGAAGGAGGAACCTTCCAAACTACGGGGGTTTTTCAAGGATATCAGCATCAAGCGCCTCTAGGCTTTTCTCTCTTCTTGTTCCTGTTGTAGATTTGGTCTCATTACGCACCCAGCATCTGCCCCTGTTTACGGGGATGCAATTTGTTGAACTTCCTCTTTGAGGAGGCAGGTTCGGGGCAGGTATTGGTCTGTCAGGTCCACCTTCCCAGGATCTCCGTTACCAGTACAGTACTGTCAGAAACTTTTTTTTGTAGGTAAAATATATAAAAAACTTTAGATCGAACTTTAGGTAGATTAGACTGAATAACTGATCCAATATCACCCTGCAGCCAGCGCGTATGACATGAACCGTGTGTAATCTGTGAAGTGATTGGCGCCACAGGAACCTGCGTTTGTAGGTAGGAAACCTTTAGAACTCACCTTCTCAGAGGATGCTATGATCACTTCCACGATGAGAGTGGAGTCGCGATGTACATAGATGTACGGCTGTGACTGATTGTTTTCCCTGATAGGGGCCACATTGATGTTATCCACATTGGATTTCCCTTCATGCCGACTGTTGCCCGGCTTGAGGTGTCATTTCCCCGTCTCGAGGTCTTGTCTGTGAAGGTACTGTCAGCTTCTGAATATAATCTCCCCGCATTTCTCCATTTGGAGCCTTCGTCGGAAGGCTTGAATTCCATATGATTAATCAACGTTTTGCCCTTCAGCCCTGAAGGACAATCTCCGGCTCCTAAAACACGAAGAGGGACACGAGCTGGTCTGCAGAGATGCATATGGATGAACACAGAACTGTCTAGCTTGTATCATGACATGACGATGACATCTGTGGTACGTTTCTTCCTTCGTAACGAGTAATTTCACAACGTTGGCCAGAGCCTAGACTACTCAAGTAAAATTTTTGTCTTTTCGACATTGCGGAGAATGAAATCTGAGATGTCCACTAATACGAGCAGATTCGTCCTGCCAATCTGCTAAATTCCGAGGAGAAGAGCGATTGCCCGTTTTAAAAATTAAAGAATGTGAAGCCTGGCGGAAATGTCAGATGTCCATAGCGATTGCCCGCGGATATAAATTCTTGCTCTCCATAACATTACCCACTTGGACGTAAAGCCCCGTGCCTGTTGTACTTTCGTGTGTGCCCACGAGATCTGAAGCTGAGCTGTTTCTACACTGTCCTGCACAAGAGTTGGTCTTTGCCTGTACTGGTTTTGAAGTGCACTTTATTTGAAACACATGTCCCAGTTAATATGGATTAACTGGGAGTTCTGATAACTGTTAGCTTGCTTCTGGCTGTCGGGGAAAAGCTCGGGCGGATTCTCAGAGCGTAGACAAACCTATTCATAGACGGATCTGTACTTAGCCTCTAGATACATGGCGAGGGAATCGGACAAGGTAAGGTCTTAAGCATTGATGTGGTTCGTCTGTATGCAGGAAACGTCTCCATTACACCAGACTAGTAGTGCGTCTTCACTCGTCGTCCCAGAGGGTAGGGGGAAGGGAAAGTCGGGAAGCTACACACTGCCATGAAATAATGAAGGAAGGTGAGGAGGCTCGGTCGAACGAGAGAATGACCTGAGCAGAACCCAGCTCATCTCGGTGCTAAACATCTCTTCCCACAAAGTGGCTGACGGTTGTCCGTGGGACCAGCTGGATCCAGATCACAGATTTACTCCAACCCAACAATCAGTTTGTGAAATGCCAAGACCTCCGAAGTGGGAACAGTCGATGGGTGAGTGTGGGGCCCTTCTTCTCCCTCTGCCGCTTTCGGAGAAGATGCGAAAAGCACATGCGAGCTCTTCTAAATACAGTCTCGACCTCACTGCCTCCCAACACTGGCCTGCTGCCAGAGAGGACATCCTCAGCTCCACGCATAATCTGGGCCTACTGGACGCGCTATTGTTGTAGACTCACTTGAATTGGCCATAGATTGAGGGTTACGAAACTTGTAAAAACGTCGTCGAGCGCGCACAGGTCCCTGGGACAGACAGTCAGACTGTCAGAGGATTGTACAGGCATTGTACAGGTGTAGGAAAGGTTCAATTACGTGTGCCACCTCTGGGACTGCTCATTTTGAGTCTCTCTTAATACCCCACCCAAAAAAAAGGACTGTACAGCGTAGTGCGTAAGTGTAGCATAGCCCTCTGGAGCACAGCTATCGACCGAGCTCTTAGCAGCTAGCCAGCCGCTCGGTCTGGGTATCTTCGTCAGTTATGAGATGAAGGTGTCTCACTCTTCTCAGAAGCTTCGCCAAATTCCCAACAACAACCTTCGAGCTCAAGTTATTACTGCAGGACTTGCAGAGGAGGTAGTTTGGAGACATGTTCAGACTCCAGACCAAAAGGTTGTTCACAGCACTGGACTACGGTGTCTGCGCATGCCAGATGATCATCTACACTAGACACCAGTAGTGCAATTACGCCAGGAGAGCAGGCCAGGCCAATGAGGGCAAGTCAAGGGCGGGGTGATGATGGGCGGGGTGTGGCGGGAAGCGAGGGCTCAAAAGCTGAGCGCTTCTTGTGAAGCGCAGCGACTCTGAGCCTCAGCAGCTCGTCGATTCTTCATCTTCTCAATCATTTGATTGGACTGTCAATGTTGTGAACTCTATGAATCGGCACAGCCTCAGTGAGTAAGACAGGTAGGGGCCCCGTGTGTACCTATTTGCGCTCCTTCCATCCCCGCCCCCTATCTGACTGAACTTGCATGTACACAACAGAAAAGTAAACACAATTGGCTTTTGATTGCGCCTAAGGAAGACTTGCCCGACATAGCTCCCCTGCCCTCCTATGCCCTCCCCTTGTCTGCCTCGCCTGACCCAACCACTGCTACGTACACGAATGAAGATAATGATGGAGAATTTGTCCTCCTCACTACAAGCAATCCCACGAACTCATTTCTGCAGGCCACAACATTGTGTGTATGTAATTTTTCGACATTCATGTTTGTGCAACCACTTCCCAGCTCCCGTCAGCGCAGCTCAGTCCTCGTTGAAGAGAAGCTCATGCAACCCGAGCACCTCCCGTTCATCGTGCGTGCAGTCAAAAATAATTATCGCTGTGAATCGAGTTACTCGTGTGAGCTTTCGACGGGAGTGTCGGAACATGCTCGACGTATGACTTCCCTGGTTTCGGTTTCGCTGTCATTCATGCTCTTCAACCGTTTTCCGATACTCGTGTGCATTTGCTTAGTCCACCACCCCACAACCACCACCGACCCCGTGCATGGCTCAACAGTTTGCTAGAATGAATGATAGAGTGCCGTGCTCTGTGCACAAGGGCCAGGCTTTTGGAACTGTGAGCTCGTCTCTGATAGAAAATGTGGAGCTACCCGTGTCAAAACAAGTGCACGGTTTCTGTATCTCGTCACTCGAAGGTTGCATTCTTTTAGAGAGGCAGTTTCGGAGGCGCTATTCGACGACAAGAACATGGCGACTCGCTTCATCTCGTCTCGTCTAGACTCACATCTGCTCAGATCTGCTGTACACTGCCCATGTGGTAGACCAATTTCCGAGTTCAGATTTGAGTCCATGACAGCTACTGCGACACCACGTAACGATATCATTTTCGGTCAGGACTGTGCGTAAACGAGTGTTGCTGAATTCTTCCAGCATCGTAGAACATTTAATCGGTTGGCCACCCACCACAATTCATCGAGCGATGGAGGTTCGAACATGCGCATTGGAACTCGCTTCCTTCGACCACGGCGTCCACGGCTACAAATTCCTTATTCACGGCCCTCGTGCACGGCACATGAAATGCCGGGCATCGAGGTCATGCACGTCCTAATGTCACTACGGGACAGATTCTGTACTCGATGACTTCTTGACTGCATACGAAGGGAGCTCGAGATTCAGGCCCCGCTCAAAATTCGTCGATAGCGATCAAGAATTCCGCCGTGGAACAAATGATGGAGAAGGAAGTGGTTGGAATGGCAAAAGCCATCTAAATCGGGTTTGGAGGCTAGCGAGCTGACAGGCTTCGTTATCCTGCCATGATGCGGATCGTGCGGGCGGGCGGGCATTTCCTTTCGTCGGACATGGATGGCAGCTTTTGTCGCCGCTTCATCCGACCGGAAATCCGTGGCCATGTTCGATGGGATTGTGCTGTCAGGTCGCTCCTCTGTTGCAGATTGCAGATTGCAGATTGGCGCTTTGCTTTTCTCGGGCTGTCTGATCGAAAGCAAGCTCGTCCCGTCGACAGATCACGATTGATTGCATTGCAGGTCTAGGGGTCTAGAGTTTGAAAAGAAGGGCTCGAGGAGCTCTCCGTCGCTTCTCGCTGGCCGCCTCCCTTCCTCTCGAAGCTCAGCGCGAATCGCACGACGAACATGGAACGCATCTTCTCGTGAGCTCAGCTTGCGCATCCATCGCAATGTTCGTCCATTCCGATCAGAACGAAAAGAGACTCCCGACTAACACCGCCAATCAACCCTAACCAAACAATCTTCCTTCTGGTTGAGCAAGACGATCGGAATACGGATAGTCCCAATCCCCAACGAGGATTCGCAGCATCTCAGCG